CTTGGCGATGGATTCCACGTGGATGCCGCCGCCGCCGCCGCTCTTCCTCCTCCTCCTCTTTTGGGCCGCCTTTGCGGGCTCGCCCCATCAGGCCGAAGGTGAGTCGGTGGCGAAGGCGCTCGGTTTCCCTTCCTCGGGTTTCGCCTCCAGCGCGGAGCTCATACTTTTGCGGATTACCGCTCCCGCATTCCTTCCACCTGTCCCTCCCCCGTCCCTCCAAAAAAACTAACTTCTCCCCCCCCCCGTGGCGTTGTAGTCCGAAACAAAGTAACGTTTCCACTGGTGCCTTTGAGGAGTTGCCCTTCTTAACTTATTCGGATGTTGATGGATTCATTTGGGGATCCGGAGTGGGCGGACCTACCTCAGCCTGGGTTTTACAAAAAGAAGCCAAGCCAGCGTGGGAACGCGCCGCTTCCGCGTCCAACTGATGGGATTCCCGGAGCAAAGCCACCTGCCCTTAACTCTCTGACCCCTCCAACGGTGGGGGGGGGCACGACTCCCATCCTCCGCTACCGCTTTGTTGGCTGCGGATGGTGGGAGTTGTAGTTTGACTTATCCAAGCCCATGTGAGGTCGGCCTGAGCAGAAAAACCAGGGGCCCGGGCTGTGAAGTCCGTCCTGTGTTTTGTCCAGCCAAGTACAGTACTTTGTGCCTTCCTTGGTGGGAGGAAAATGCAGGGGGGAAAATTATGCAACCTGCCTTTTTCCAGGCATTTCAGGAGACTTAAGTCCGCTGTTATTCCAGTGCCTAATGGGAGGGAACAGGGCTGATCTTTCAGAGGCTCTTGAAATTAAAGTGTGTAACTGCTGGCTGTTAATTGACGTGGATAAAGCGCTCCTCTTTCTCAAGAATGTGAGAAATCCTTTGTGGGATGCCAGCAGCTGCTGGTGCCCATTGTGGTTGGTGGCAAGGGAAACACAGGAACCAGTGGTGGGCAGAGCCAAGGGGACAGGGCAAGGGGGTGTTCTCTCTCTCTCTCTCTCTCTCTCTCACACACACACACACACACACACACACAGAGAGAGAGAGAGAGAGAGAGAGAGAGAGAGAGAGAGAGACAGACATGCACCCAGAGGCAGGTAAGGAATCATTCACACATGCACCCAGAAGGAGGCATGCACTTACTCCGACACTGTTTGCCTCACCCGACTCTGTTCATTCACTCTGTAGAAAAACACACCTTGCCCCAAAATTGAGGGGGGGGAAATCCTTACCTGCTCTGTTTCTCTCGTCTCTCCCACCCCCCTTTCTCTCTCTGTCATGCATTAACACATGCTTTATGGTGTGTGAAGCTGGAAGTAGAGCAGGAAGGGAACACTGGCGCCCTGATTCTCTCTGCCTTCTAAAACTACAGGCAGGAAAGGGCGGCCAGGAGATCTTGAAGTGCTCCTCTTGTCCGGAGGAACCAGCCATCCTTAGGATCCCACGAAGTACACAGAAAACTGCTCGATGCAGAAATGGAGTGCTGTTCCCACTCCGGTTCTCCTGTAGTTTTAGGAAGAGCCAAAGGTTGGGAGTTCGATCCCCCACTGTGTGCCTCTTTGACAGGGGCTGGACTCCCATGGTCCAGAGGGTCTCTTCCTTTCCAGCTCTACAGTTCTAAGATTATTATCATATTCCCTGGAGATGGCCGGGGTTGAACCTGGGACCTTTGGCATGCAAAGCAGGCTGAACCCTTGAGCTACCACCTTTCCTCAAGGCCTCACTGAGTCATTTTGGGGCTCTGTCAGTTGGTCCACCATCTACATTCTAAGTCTGCTCTCTGTCACCTGCAGCCAAATGCACACTTCCTCGTTGTGACCCAGAAACATGGAGGCCTGTTGGTGTTGATTTTGCCCCCAAAAAGTGTGATAATGAACATGCTAAGTGAGCACTTGGGACCTTTGTATCTTGGATGTTCACTTCTTAGATCAGTATCCTGTCCTTTGGCGTTTCGATAGCCCAAATGTGTACAGGAAACAATTCTGAATAATGTATTCTCGAAGGCTTTCACGGCCGGGATCTGATGGTTGTTGTGGGTTTTTCGGGCTGTTTGGCCGTGTTCTGAAGGTTGTTCTTCCTGACATTTCTCTGTGGCTGGCATCTTCAGAGGACCGGAGTAGGAACTCTGTCCATCCTCTGTTGCTGTTTGTTGGATAGTTGAGTATTTATAGCTGTGAGAAAAGCTTTTGTCCTTTTCAGGAGATAGGGTGATGATGGTGATCAACGTGTTTTTGTTGTGGATGTGAGTTCCTTCTCCAGTCCTCTGACAATGCCGGCCACAGAGACTGGTGAAACATCAGGAAGAACAACTTTCAGAACACGGCCAAAGAGCCCGAAAAAACCACAACAACCAATTCTGAATAATGTTTTCTATGCCATGCCCTACTGGAAGACATGGGACATGCTAGGCAAAGGGTATAGGAGCATTTGAAACAATAGTTACCTCTTGCATTCTCCCTGTCTTTAAGGCCCGTGTGATCCATAAAGTCTCTTTTTTATGCTTTCTGTTCCACGTGGACACCATTCTGACATGAGAAAGAGAGAACTATTTTATTAGTTTGTATAAAGTATCCAGAGTCAAATGATTGTAAATACATTGATGCTCATAAGCTTCAGCATACTGTATGATCCATATTTAGCACACATCAAGAACTGTAAGACATTACTTTCCACTTACTAGTAGTTATTATTAGTACCATTATGTAATGTCAGCACAGTGTCTTGATGCTGCACACAGCATGGCAATGACATAGCCAGTCACTAAAGAATGGCTTACTTGCCTGCCTTTGGTCTCCTAATTTCAGCTTTTGGATGCTTTGTGCTTTTTGGAAAATAATCCATCAAGGTGGTATGTGATAAACAATACAGCTGATACTATTTTACTACTAGTGGGTTCTCTTCCACCTCACTCTTTGATTGAATGCAGGGAGTAAAAAATAATAATTTTCATTTCCGGGATGCCTAGGGAGCTGTGGGTGCATAAAACGTCTTATCACCCAGTTCCCACTCCACAACCACCTTGTACTCTGGTTTGTGTTTTGAACCAAGAGGGGACTGGTGCAGGGCGAGTTTATTGAACTTTCTTATCAAGCAGAGGTCTGTTTCATATTGTCTGATGCTGTCCCGCTACGTGAGTCCTTCCAAATTTGTGACTTTTTGGGAGAGGAAAAAAAAATCCTTTTTTAAATTATAACTCTAGACTCTCTCATTCAGCAAGGCCAGTAAAATAATACAATTGCTAATTATGATGATTTTTGGGTACTCTATGGTGATTACTTATGAGATGACTTAGGCTGTGACTATGTCGTCAAATCCTGCGGGATTTGCTCGGCTTATAAAATGGGTAAATTCAAAGTATTTTCAGCTGACCACATGACGCAAAGGCATATTCAAATTGGTCCAGCCCGTTTTACTCCCAAAGCAGCTTTTGTTCTCTACTTTCTCTACTTTTTCAAGCCAGAAAAATTTGAACGGCCTTTTAGTTGTGATATGTTCTTGCAAAGACCTGGGGATACAGCATATCTGTAGGTGGTGGTTTGGTGATGTAGGCAGTTGGGGCATGATATTGAGAATGGGGGAACCCACCCCTGCATTCCTTCATCTCCCCAATTACCCTCCAATTTTTAATTTTTTTTAAAAAAATTCTTTCATATATGTGATTAGTGATACTCTCCATAAAAGGATGAGCAGAGGTGGGATCAGAGGAAGGAACTAAAGAAGTGGGGGTTGTGAGCTCGAATGTGAATTGTATTGCATCCAGTATGAATGGTGAATGCCCAAACCAGTCTGCAGCCCTGTTTGAGCACTGACTGCCATTTCAAATATAATACGGGCTGTGAATCAAATTGCAGTAAAGCCAAATCACTCTGATTCAACTTCCCAGTGTAGCCGCACTCTTATATGCACATTTAAAGTCATTGCTGGATGTCACACTCAACCACAGTCAAACATACACGACTGGCCATAAAAACAGAGGGGAGAACTGGTCCCAGAAGAAGAGACAATCTGATGCAGAGAGCCCCATGATATATGACTACATAGATTAGCATTCTCCGTTTGCTCAGGTCTATCTCAGGAGAGGTAGAGTAGAATATTGCACAATTATGCATGAGCTGAGCTGAACTAAACTAAAAGAAATTACTTTCTGCCTCTTTTAAAGCATTGAAGCTCAAGCTGTTCAGATAAACTCCTTGATGGGAACTTGAAGAAAAGGAATGTTTCGATCTGCACAGTACATAATTATTTTATTTCTTTATTAATTATCGTTAATACCCCACTTTTTCTCCAGCAAGCTGAAAGCAGTATACATGGTTCTCTCCTCTCCACTTTATCACCTCAGCTTTCTTGCAAGGTCGACTCTGTTGAACAGACTGTGATGGTCCAGGGAGTTCTTTGCTTGAGTTTGGACTTGAACCTATGTGTCAGTCAAGCACTCTAATCATTATCCCATACTGGAACATAGATACGGTAATGTCTAGATGGCATTTCATTCATTCTATTGACTGTTCACTCTGACAGCTGCAAAACAGAACCTCTCTATTCTGGGACTGTCTTATCTGCGCATATGAGATCCTGAGATTTATGATAAAGTGGGGCTACCACTTCTTATGCTCTGCTTGCCAATTCCTGGAAGAATTAGGGTGGATGTTGGAGGGAAGGAAAGCGATCAATAGAGGGACTTTGCTCTAATCCAGAAATGCAGTTCTCCCGCTCATATGCCATACACCTAATATGTAACAGACTTATTATGACTGGGTCAGTGTAGGAGCTTTGTGTCATGATAGCATGTCTGTTGTCAACAGCTCTAGCTGTCTCCTTTTTTCTATGTGTGGGTGGATCTTTTTGTTAATGATGGGTATCAAAGTTCATTATATGCCCTATGTTATTATCATAGGTTCTCCTCCCAATTCTGCTATGAGATGAATGGAAGGTGGCGTACAAGGATGAATTGCTTTAAGGGTTGAGGATTTGGTAAAAGGCAAGAAATGTGTTTTTCCCAAGTACCATTCAGCCCATACTTGAGGATTTGGTAAAAGGCAAGAAATGTGGTTTTCCCAAGTCACAAGTTGGTCTTGGATTCTAGCCTCTTGATTACGAAATCATGGTAGGGTTGGAG